CAGTTGTTGCAATAATGTGTCATCTCTTCAAGCTATTGCAGCATCTTCATCTCTGTAATCTAAGAATATCTGATCTGTACTGATTTATAATTGAAATAGTGATAAAGTGATGTTGTATCAGTGGGCAAAAGATTAAGCAAACAATGTCCCTCGTGTTTAGTTCTATTTTGGTTTGGGTTTAAGATATTTAGGATACAATTGTCTTTAAAATGTAACTACTGTGCTCTTTTCCAGTTTTGTTTCTTTATTCTTATCTTTCCTTGATTCACAGCCTAAAATCGTAGCAATATTTTACTGGCCCTTGGTGCATCCTCTTGGTTTACCCACTATCTAATACAAGCCGTTATAGTTCCTCTCCCTTTATACACATTTTAGTCTAGATTCATATGATTGGAGGCTTGACCAGCAAGTGTGTGGGGTTTCTGTGCTCACAGTGAGAACTGTGCTTGAGATGACCCTATTACAGATATCAGATGACAATGACATCATAAAGATTCACAAGCAGGAAAAAACTGTCTGAAAATGAATGTTCAGAGGGATTTGGCCTCCCTGAAGACTTGACCTTTGGCTTGTAGGGATTATTTTCACAAAAACCATCATTGTTTAAAAGTTCCATCATTGCTAATAGTATGGTGGTCAGACGTTTACACTCATCATGGGCATGAATGTCATGGTAATGTGGGGCTTTTAGTGATGAATACTGTTGTTTTTCAAGGCTGGAATGATTGAACAATATATCTGTAATGGTTGTAAAAAAAATCACACATATACAAAACACTCATTTAGATCTTTTAAAAGGTGGTTCAGGAGGTTCTATCTCTTATTCTTGTTTAGAATATTTACTAAAACTAGTAGTTTATCCTTACATGCATAAAATGATTTATTTGGCAGCACTTGCTGGATTACCAAAGCTCAGAACTTATTTAGCATCATGCTGCTGGTTACTGATACACTGCAAAAAGTGGATGGAATAACGAAGAAGGAGAACTACCTCAAAAAAAATTACGTTTAGCTCAAACAGCTAGACAGTTGAAACTTGTATAAAATTGGATATTCCAATAATGATCCCGAACACACATCAGAACTGGTTTTGGAATGGATATGCTTCTGCAATGGTTTTCCCAAAGCCCCGACCTCAACCTGATAGAAAATTTGTGGGCTACACCTACAAGCCTGATCTGTGCCAGTAAAACCAACCAATTTGTAAGAACTCTCCCAACTCTGCCAAGAGGAGCAGGCAAATATCCAGCCGGAATTCTGCCCATTTGAATTAGAATGAAGTTTCTTGATGGCTACCAAAAGTCCAGTGGAGGTGCAAATTTCTGAAGAACCATACACCCATCCATTTGCTTTGACTTATCCAGGGATGAATAAATGAACGATTAAAGGACATTTAGCAAATAATTAATCAAATATTAGTCGGGGTGTATGCATATATTTCAACTGGTATGTATAATTTTGATCCTGTGTGGATTAGAAAAACTCCAAAATGCATCCAAACTTGTGTACCCAATTTTTGAAACTTTTTAAAAGATGACTGCAGTACAATCAATCCAATCCAGAAAAGAACAGTTCAAAAAATAATTTTAAAAAATTATCATGACCTGCATGATGGGTGTGTGTAAAATTCTTACCAAAACTGCATATATATGGCAGATAATAAGGAAAAACCTACAATGTCCACTAATGCATATGATTTTATCACTGCCTCATTTCATTACCTGTGTACTCTTACACGTGGTCAGGCTGTTTGCTGACATAATTTGGCATGAAACATTAATACTTTATGACCTTGAGATCATAATACACTGTTTTAGAGTGAGGCTGTGCTAGAAAGCAAAGCAAATGAATACATTTTACCTCTTTACACTTACCTGTTTGGTTCCAAAACGGTAGTATCTGATAGGCCCAAAATACCCACGGATGCCTTGTAAGTAACTGCCTCCTCCAATCACAAAGTATCCATCTGTGTCATCGTAATGAATGCTGTCCTGAAATCTATGACATTTAATACCACTCAAACCAGCAATCACAATCACTGAGCAAACAATATTTATTTTCCAGAAACTTGGCAACAGTGTGTTTTGCTTATTTTATACCAAAAATCATAATCGTACTTGTATAAATGTTTCTGAGTTTGACCATCCCATGTGGTTTCCAGCAGCACCTAAAAGTCAAACATAACAATACATGAGTCCTGAAAAACCTGCTCAGCTTTAAACAACTCCAAATTGCAGTACACACTGCAATCGCCTGGAGTTTCCCAGCTGGAAATAAACCATCTTTCAAGATCTTACAGCTGTTCCAAAGGGAAACAAAAGCTAGAAGTCCAAAGAAAACCCAGCAGAAAAAGAATGACTATAAGATGTTGCCAGAGCATTATTTTGATTTTTATTCCTCATCCCACCACCAGAGTCATTCTTTGGCGTTTTACCTCTGAGTCCTGTATGTAATAGTCTAATCTAATCCATTTTAAGAGAGGCAACATTGCTTGGACTTGAAATGCTTCATCTTCTCCAGTTATCTTTCGTGCCTGAATTATGATGTTCCCTGTACGGCACATATGACAGTCGTGAATTTCACCACAGGAGATCCAAAGCTCCTTATTAATACATATTTTTTGTGCTAGCAATATTAATAAATCACATCTGCGCAAAAACCACAAATCTTCACTCACAATCATGTTGTGACACTTCTTTGTAATCCCCTATCAGGTGTACACATGAGCTGGCATGACCCACCTGTGTTCGTAAGCTGCATCAGAACTGTGTCATATAAATTTTTTCTATTGACATGATGGATGATCCCACAGAGCTTCTTCTGACACCATTTCAGTAGGTATATCCACACAGATAAGGTGACGCTGGAAGCCAAGCAATGAAACATGATTTGACAAATCATTTCTTCATCCACTCAAGCATGAGGTTGAATTTAAAACGCGGCGCTGTCTGTTAAAAATGCCTGACCTCGCTGTCTTTCATTGACCGTAAGTAAAAAGCTTATATGCTCTGGTGAAGCGGCTTGGTGAAGCTTGTAAAGTCATTTAAAAAGACACTGAAGTAAAACTAAAAGTAGAGTGTGTTCTAACTGATGCCTGCACTGAAAAGGAAATGATCAGTGACTTGTGACCTGTCATTCTGCTGATATAAACACAAAGCAGAGCTATTATGTACTTTATATTTGAGGAAAATGGGCCGGAGAGTACCTTTGAAACATATAATATCAAACACTCTGTTTTACTTAATCCTTTGATTCAACATTTGGAAACTCAGCTGGAGATTTCATGCTGTGTGGCTGAACTTCATACTAAATAAGTTCCAGCTAAAATGAGGTAAATTAGAAGTCCAACCTGGGCTGTGTCACAGCGTGACGCCGGGTTCTCTCTAGAGCTCTGTCAATAAAAGGCTGGAACCTGCGGATCACTCCAAAGCGCTCACCAGTACTTGCCAGAGGGAACTTTAGCATATCGATTATGTCTGGGATCAAACAGAACAGCGAAAGGCTCCATTTGCAAACACTTGCATGTGTTCTTTAAAAGCTTTGGAGATAAAGATGAGACATGCAGAGGAAATGACAATGTGATTAAGGGTCAAACCTGATTCATGTGGACACTGATGGATTCTGTGGCTGGTCATCTGCCACATTAGTTGAGCCGACCATGACGGGCAACCAGTGGGAGGTTTACTTGGCCGCTCAGAGGGTGGAATTATCTGCAGCGCTTTATAAATCCTCAACATGGAGCTGTGGTATGTGCTGAGTTCACTGCCATTTTTAAAGCTGCCCAGCCAACCACGGACTGTCACATTCTGTGTGTCCAAAATGTTCCTGTTGAAAAAGTCGCGTTGATATGAAATGGACGGAGGCAGTCTAAGCAGCACCTGGTGGATCCTGTAGTCACGGAGTCTGCTGCTTTTCCATTTTCTCCTGAAGACCACTAAATCTGTCTTCTGCAATGTGGACACCACCACCTCAACTGCAAGCTGACATTGCCCAGAGCACTGATACCGCACGCGGACCACCGAGCCATCTACCACTTTGTCAGGGACGGCGTCAAACCCTATAAAATTGTCAGGCGGGGTCTCACTGCTGTGGGCTGAAATGACTTGTGAAGCACACTGTCCCTGGGTGAAGAGAAGGAAAAGAAATACACTTAAATGAACATAAAGGGAAAACAGACTTGCATGAAGTTTCATTCTCTCAACCAAATTTGAAAAATTTATCACCAGTTAGTTACTAACTGCTTGTAGTAGTGTATATCGAAAAACGAGAGCAGTCTCCTGTGAGCAGAATAAGTGAGTGAATAAAATTGCTTACCATTAGAGCAGAAGCAGTGAAAATCTGTCCAAAAATGATGACATGAAACACATTCATCTTTTGTTGTTGTTTAAAACTGAATAAAAACCACAAGCAAATTTGACATTCAGAGTGGTAAGTAACATTGGCTCTCACTGTTTGACACTTCCAGAAAACATTTCCAAACAGCCGTGCAATGGGTGTACCATTGCAATGCAGCATTACCTGAAATTCTGGTGTTTCAAGTTCAGTGATTAGCATGCTTTTAAAAGGCTAGCGCCCATGAGGGCTCGGCTATATTTACTCTTGATGTGTAATAAAAGTGTTGTTTGATTCACTTTATTAGTGATTGTATTTGGGACCTTTCCATAAGAGTGAAGCATCAGAGCTGACTTAATCTGATGTACGTGAGCCAAGACTTTGTCATCACCCTGCGTCCTCTTTGGCCAACGCGCTTACGCAAGACTTTGAAGAAATATGATCTGAAAAACAACCTGATATGGCAGCCAAAATTAATTACCCATGGGCCACTGACTGTTTATGTTTCAAAGTCAAGGGCATGACATGTGCTAATGTTGCTGATGGGTTGCTTTAGGTAGCCACACATACACGAACATGGTCTATATAAAAGGTGGCTGCTGTTTTCACACACATATGTTCTTGATGGCATACCTATGTGTACAAGAGAATAGCTTTTGAAGGCAATTTTATTGGATGTTATTGAAGAGTTGATTTTTTCAAGCAAGCAGAAAATGCTGTAAAAATATGCTTTTGTAGCTTTTTTCTTTTTTTGGTGTACAAAATCATAGGTCATCACTTTTAATGGCTTTACAGGACATATGCAATTTTCAGTCTGTCTTTGAGGACCGTCTAACTACAGAGTATCCTGCAGTGCCACATGGAAAAAAGATTGCTTCCAACTATGTGAGTGGTTTGCCCTTTAGCAATAACAAAAGTTTGTTTCACTTTTATATTCCAGTGGCAGAGTACTTAGATGAAAGTCCGATACAGTTTGGGCAAATCAGCACAGTCCAGAACTGCAGCGCCGTCTCATCTGAAGACCCCTTCTTAACATCCTTCTCCTTGCCAACATGCCTTCCGTTTGCCTCTTCACAGTCTGTGCCTCTGCCCTTTCCCATGGCTCATGGCACCACCACCTTGGCGTTCATGTTCCAGGGTGGCGTGATGGCTGCAGCAGACACTCGTTCCAGTTGCTCAGGCCTCGTCGCGTGCCCAGCCTCGCAGAAGATCCTGCCCATTCACAGTCACTTGGTGGGCCTGACCTCAGGCACTTCAGCCGACTGTGCGCTTTGGAAACGTATTTTGGCTCGCGAGCTGCGGCTTTACCAACTTCGCCACGGTCGACGGTTGTCCACGAGTGGAGCTGCCAAATTGCTTTCGCACATGCTTCACCCTTTCAAAGGAACTGAGCTGTGTGTGGCTGCCACGTTGTGTGGGTGGGATGGAGGAGAGGTGGACGATGGATGTGATTACCATGGAGGCACAGAGACTGGTCCTGGTAGTCGAGGAGAAACAACAAAGAATCAAATGACTGAGCAGAAAAACTTTGTAGATAGCACCAATGCAAAGGTTTCTCTGGCAAAGGATGAACGCTTTTCTTTCTCTCAGCAGTGCTCCATCAGAAAGAAAATGAATTTATCTGGACCAAGGCTTTTTTATGTATGCAGTGATGGTACTCGCCTACGGGGAATGCTTTTCTCTGTGGGCTCAGGATCCCCTTATGCCTACTCAATTTTGGACCAAGGTGTTCACTGGGGGCTGACAGTAGATGAGGCCAAGTCAATAGCTAGAGAAGCTGTGTACAGAGCTACGTATAGGGATGCATATTCTGGAAACTGTGTGGACATGTATCACATCACGTCAAAAGGCTGGACACGCAGAAACCGGGAGGATTTGAAAGAGGAATATTACCGAGAAAAGGAAAGGCGAAAGCATGAGAAAACAGAGAGGCGGGATGTGGCTTTTTCTGACTAAAGACATGAAACAAACAAAAATGGCTTGGGAAGCAAAAGGCAAACATTGGGGAGTATTTTGGAGAGACGTGATATTATGGCATCTTTGCAGCAGTTACTAAATTAATGAACAGGACAGGCAGTTGCATCCTCCAGGCTATTTCTCAAATGATTTGGGCATGCATATCGTTCCCTCTAATAAACAGCTGATGTTTTGTTTGTGCTGATGATAAAAATGTATTCTAAGAGCACCCTGCTTGCTGGCATTTTGATTTAGATGTTAAAGCATTATGAATCATTTCAAGAATGTGAGATAATTACTACCTACTCCAGCATGCGGGTAAATCGCATAAACACAGAGTAACAGAAAATGAATAGTCTAAAAATCTAAATGGCTGGAGGCTGAAGGTCATAATGTATTACTGTGTGTAAGGGAACACGTTTAGCCGCAGCAATAAACGGTAAAGGGGCTGTAAACTGATTTGTGCCTGCTGTCAGAAGACTTCTGAAGTTCCTCTGACACTTCAATAAATTAATGAATAAAAGGAATTTTGCTGCCTGCTCATTTTGTTTGAGCGCTGTGGTCATAAATAAAGCATAACTGTAATTACTCAACTGACAATGACTCTATATTGCCAAGTATATTAGGGTAAAAGGTACAGAGCTGTCCATCTTCATCCTCAGTGTTCAGCTATGTTCTCTAACTTTAGTGAAGTCCATGATGGGGGACAGTTTGCAGTGTAACATCAGTGTTGTGGCACACTGATTATACTACATGTCAAAATGTTGTAATGAAGTGTATGATGTCCTGTTTCCATATATTAAGTATTGCAATATATCGTATATGAATGCATTTTTTTAATGACTAACATATGCATATGTGTGCAGCGAGCATGTCTTATGTGTTATTAACGGCATAAAATAAATTACAGCCTGGGATGCGTGACTGCAGCATCAGTGGGGATGCGCACTAGTACTACTGTATGATTGACTGCAGCTGTGTGAGTAAGAGGGGAAAGCCTCCCATTCTCCCCGACCTCATGCATAATTCCCATCTTTGGAAGTTCATTAATGGCAGAATTATTGAGCGAGTGAAAACAAACAAACAAAAAAGGAGAAAGAAAGCATTTGGTGGTCTAGATTTGAAGTCTTGCAGGGACCGACTCTTGGGAAAGTGAGTCGGCGTTATTTTTATAGCACCTTAAAAGAGCATATGTCACAGAGCGCTTCACAATAAGAAACGGTTAAAAAGCAAAATATGAGGCAGCCAGACATTAAATGCACACAGGCAGATAAAAACACAAGGCGAAACAAGGCCGAACCTAAATCTAAACAAATTGCTTTCAGTTGCTTTCTAAAGGTGCCTGCAGATCTAACGTTTAAGAGATATAGCCTCAAAAGCACAGTCTCCTGTCATAGTCCGAGAGCAGGCAGGACTCAAATGCAGATTCAGAAGGCAGTTCGGAGAGTTTATTAACAGTGATGTGAAAAAGCTATTTGCAGTGCCTTTCAAAAAAGGGAAACATCCACAGTCTCTATGTACAGTATCCAAGTCGATGGTCCGATAGGTTCCACTCAGTCTTTAGATTCGATAATGAAACAGACTTCTCTCTCCGACTCACACACACAAATCCTCCTCGAGGAAAACAGGGAAGACTGCTGGACAGAAGAGAGATGGTGAGAGGTGCACACATGGAAACAGGTGAGCAGACTTACGTAATGAAGGTAAGCATCTGCCGTGACTCAAACACCAGATGAGGAGCAGGTGAGTTAATTACCACAGGTGTGCCGGAGGGCGGGGACCAAGAGGATCCTGCCCCTGCAAGGGCGTGCACGCACGCACACACACACCCACACCCACAAACAGACAGACAGAGGAGAGAGAGAGTCATGGTGGAGAGCGAGGAAAACTGGCAGGAGTACCACGAGGACTGAAGGACTATGACAGTCTCCTTTCTTGTTGAGACTGGAGCGAGAAAACAACCATCAAACCCTAATCGGAGAACCTCTCCCAGCAAACATTCTGACATTCAATGACTATTGTTTGCATGTCTATTCAAGCCATTCATGTCACATTATGATTGAAAACAGCTACATAATGAAAGGTGTACAGATAATTAACCTGGCTTTCTGCCTCAAGTTCCTTCAGCAATGTTGACTTTCTATGTCTTTTGATAGACATAAAGATAATTAGACCGAGCACTAGACAACAAATGCATTAAAAATATAAAAGATTTGTTAATTTGTATTTTAGGGCTCAATGATTATAGCAAAAATCACAATCTGGATATTACATCAAACATTCATTAACTTAAGCACGCAATATGCATTTAGTGGCGTTTTTAAAAAAGTGTCTTTTTACATGAGATTTCCATTATTCAAATGAAAAGCTAATAAATTAATGAAAAAAGAGATGTCTGCCAGTCCACACGATCGGGTCCATTAGACATCTGCAAGTGCAGTCTGTGGTAAAAGAAGCTCATGCCTCAGTGGACTCATGCACCTCAGGAAACCTGCAGTGAAGCCTGGGGGCGAAAATGCTGGAGAGCTGAAGCCGATGACCAACCAACACCTCCTCCTCCTCTTCTCATGCTGAAAGCAGAACAAGGATAAACCCTCAGTGATCCCAGGTGATAAGGAGTCAAAGGCAGCTGCAGGCAATCACTAATGATCCCTCTACAGGATCACTTACAGCAACCTGCTTCTTCTAGATAAATATTTTCAACCACAAACCTCCTTCTGTCATCTTGCCTTGAGTTAAACTAAACTGTGAGCATGGTTGAGCTTTTTAGGGACGAGCACTGTAAAGGCGGCTGATTCATAACACAAAACAACAGGTTCATAGCCAAAATTCATCCAAATAACTGAAAGTTTTTATTCAGTTATCTTGTTTTTGTAATCATTAGAAGCCAAAATCAAAACTGAAATTCAAATCACTGACTCTAAGGCTATGTTCACACTGCAGACGAAAGCGCATTAAATCCGATTTTTTTTTTACCCTATGCGACCCATATCCGATCATGGTTTGACAGTGTGAACAGCACAAATCCGATATTTTCAAATCCGATCTGGGTCACTTTCGCATGTGGTACTGAATCCGATACATATCCGATGTTTTAGAAAGCGACTGCTGTTTGAACGGTCAGGTCGCATTAAATCCGTCTTCTACATCACTGACACAAGACAGACGCAAATTATCAGCGCCGGAGAAGCACCCGAGAAGACATCGCGATCGCTTCCTGGCCATTCCGTGTAGATGTCAGTGAAACTGTTTGGAAGACAACGTTGGAGAAACGTGAACATTTTATTTGTACTGTATAATCTGCAGATTCTGACAGAAATCTGCAACTATCCTTTGAAGCACCGCTCCTCTAAAACAGCAATAAGGATCATTATTAGGTTATCTAAATTGTTATGTAAATAACAAAATAACTTAAAGCAAAAATTAGGAAACGTAAAGTCTTTATATTAAGGGCCATCAGTCAAACAATACTGTTTGCTCTGGGTCTAAACAGAGCACGTTGTGTGTGACGTCTTCTTTTGCGCATGCGGGCCGCTTTGAGCGTTCACACTAGAGCGCGTTTGCTGTCGCATTTTATTTGTAGTGTGAACAAGCAGACAAAAAAATCGGAATTGAGCATTAAGACCTGCAGTGTGAACGTAACTCAATTTAAAAGAAAAGGTATGACTGGAAAACTGATTGGCTGGTTGGAAAGAATGTCACTATCTAGTCTAGTTATCTGTTTTAAAATCACTTTGCAACTATGCAGACAAAATGTTACCATTTTAGGCCGGTTGTCACTAACAGTTTCCTGCTGGTATTACTAAGCAACAGAGGTTTTTTATATAGAGAGGTATGTGCTGACCGTCCAAGGCTCTGAGCACAAGACTTTTGAACTTGACTGAATTTAATAGGAAGCGAGTACAGAGCTTTGAGCTTTGAGGAGGAAACAAGGACAGAATAGTAAATCAAAGTTTGAGTCTACAAGGAGAACTGAGTTTCTCTTTGCTTGGCCTCTTCAAAGCTTTTTGTTCAATTTTGGTAGTTTTTTACTTTCATGCAAACTGCAGCTGAGAGCGGAACAAGCTCCACTAGAGTTGAGCAAAAAGCACAGTGTCACAGACCCAGCCTTACATCAGTACATCTGTTTTGTTTTTTTAACTTTGAAAATATATGACCCTAACAACCAGAAGATTGGCAAAAATTCGCTGACAGCTCCCCCCTCATAGGCTAATTCAAGAACATGTTTTATGCTTAGAAATCTTTCGCTGTGAGCTCTCACATCCTCAGCACTAGATTGATTACTGCCTGGCTTTGTTTTGTGCTGCCGAAGTAGTTTTGACATTAATGAACCTCCATAGAGCCTGGTAGAAGGGATCTGAGGAGTGACCTCGGGGTTGCAAGCTTTCTTTCTAGTCATATCACGGAACACTTGTCTCATCACCACTTGTTTAAAGGCTCTCTTGTTTCTTAGTCATCAGACAGAATTCAGGCTAAGACATGATCAAAAACATGGTTGTGCAAATGAAGGCTGCACCCTGTAGATGATTACTTTTTACCTCATTCAGGTACTGAAATGCATGTTTCTGCTGCAGTGTGAAAAATCAATTCTTTTAAATTAAAAATATCCAAAACAATTGAGGGATAAATGAAGCACAGAAAACACACAACTGTAAGATTAACAATTTAGCATTCCTGTTTTGCAGTGGTTTTGTTTGTCCTTGAAAATTTGCACATTTCTAGTTGGAAGTTACTCACCCAAAAAAACAAAAAACAGTCACCACAAAAATCAGCTTAAAATTTCAGACTGATGTTGTATATGGAAAACACATCTCAAACTGAAATAAAATATGCTATGAAGTGTGGCGAGGGTGGTAATTACAGTCGCACAAATGTTTTTAGCAAATGAGAGAACGCAGCTGGCAAAAATTCCTCTTTTAATGCATCTCTAAGTGACAATTTTCTGGTCCTGCTTCTAGGTGAAGCAACTGGGAGAAATGCAAACTCACTGAAGTTGATTATGCAGACTAGCAACATTTAGTCAGATTAAACAAACACCAC